TTCAAATCAGTAGAATTGAATGCTGTTAACGACATCCAAATAAATACATGTAAACATAGAAGGCTTATATACCAACTTTGTTCATCTGTACTTTAATTTCAAACACGGCAGGATTTGTAATTAATTAAATTAATAATTTCTATATACTTTGGAAACTCACATCAAATATTTTAATACTCTTTCCTCGAGCTCTTTTCTGCAGTTTCCTTGAGATGTTATGTGGGTCCGAGGTGTAATTTGAGCTTTACAGCGATTCTTTACTTTGTGTGTGTGTGTGTGCGGGGGGGGGGTCTTTCTACCCTTGGGTTAAGGTCAAAGGTTAAGGTCGATTTCAAGTTCATAGGTCAAGGTCATTTTGGTAAATAGCTAATATCAACATTTTATTCAGGTTACTAGTGACCTTGACCTAAGTATCAAGATCAAGGGTAAAAAGATCTGCTTCAGTATGTTACATGTCTTTACATTTAGAAGTTATTTATTCTGCATGAACATCAAAAGACTTAAGTATACTGTCGTTTAACGCATTGTGTGTGCGCGCATGTGCATGACGTCCTTGCATTTACTTTTGATGGTAGAATAATGCAGGCATTCATTATATCTATTCATATATTCGAAATTTCACCCTGTATTATTGAGAACTAAGAAAGTTTTAGGCATTTAAACTTTTAGCCAATCAGATTGCAGCACACGTGCATGTGCGTGCGTTCATGATTATTCTTATATATCATGCTGCAGATCTTTATAATGTATGACTATGTTCAAAATTTCAAAGGATTTTGTCAGAAAACAAAAAAGATATAAAGACTTTAGTTTCAGCCAATCAGAACGAAGCGCACATGCATGCGCGTGAGATCTTGCTATTTTGACCATGTCATCATGTCTATACTACTATTATATCCTTATGTTTTGAGTTTCAAAGCATTTCATCAAAAATTTAAAAGGTTACGGCTATATCTATCATATTGGTCATTTCACGCGTTACACGTGTGCGCACATGCACGCACGTGCGCGCAAAATGACCTTCGTTCTGCACATCTACATTACATACCTAGTGACCCTAAAAAGGTTTCACCTAGATCGGATGAGTAGTTTACAAGAACACTCGCGGACAAAAAAAGTACCGGAGAAGAAAATTCAGAAAAAAAGTAAACACAATATGTTCCCAAACTTCGTTTGGGGAACATAATAAGAAACAGAGTAAAAACAATATGTTCCCCAACTTCGTTTGGGGAACATAACTAGTGCTAATTGTAACGGGGACCGTTACAGATGTTCCCCAAACGCTCCCCAACTCCCTTTTGGTGCCATATTCCCTGGAAGCTTCATTAAATTAGACAAACTCGATGCATTTGAGACTTAAAAACGTTTACCCAGAAGTGTACAAAGTTCATTCAAATTTTAGCATTGCACGCGTGCGCATGTGAATGCATGTGCGTAATGACCATATCATCTTGTCTACACAATCTATATATTTTAATATACTTAATATTAAAGTATTTAATCCAAAAGTATTAAAAAGATACGCTCATTCAATTGTTTTTTTTATTTTGCTCATTTCACGTGCACGCATGTGCATACATGAGCATGGTGACCATACCTTCTTGTAGATGTCCGTTACATCTATCTATGTTCTAAATCCCATCCCGTTTGGTTAAAATCCAAGGGAGTTATAGCTGTTTAAAGTTTCAGCCAATCAGATTGCCGTGCATGTACATGCACATGTATGCATGTGCATGGTGACCATATTTTCTTGTAGTAGTCCAGTATATCTATCTATGTTCCAAATCCCATCCTGTTTGGTTGAAAATCAAGGGAGTTATAGCTATTTAAAGTTTAAGCCGATCAGATTGCAGCGCACGTGCATGCACGTGTTTTCATGATAATTGCTATATATCATGTTGTAGGATATCCTAATGCATGGCTATTTTCAACATTTCAAAGGATTTCGTCAAAAAACAAGAAAGATATTGAGACTTTAGTTTCAGCCAATCAGAGCAAAGCGCACGTGCATGCGCGTGAGATCTTGCTATTTCGACCATGTCATATTGTCTATGCTACTAATATATCCTTATATTATAAGTTTCAAAGCATTTCATCAAAAATTTAAAAAGTTACGCCTATATCAATTAAATCGGTCATTACACATGTTGCACGTGCACGCTCTTGCAAGCATGTGCGCGCAAAATGACCTTCGTTCCGCAAATCTACATAACATGTCTACTGACCCTAAAAACATTTCACCTTAGTCGGATGTATAGTTTACGAGATCATTCCCGGACAAAAAAGTACCCAGGAAGAAGAAGAAGAAGAAAAATAATAATAATAATAATAATAAGAAACAGAGTAAAAACAATATGTTCCCCAACTTCGTTTGGGGAACATAATAATAATAATAATAATAAGAAACAGAGTAAAAACAATATGTTCCCCAACTTCGTTTGGGGAACATAATAATAATAAGAAACAGAGTAAAAACAATATGTTCCCCAACTTCGTTTGGGGAACATAATTAGCACATCGTAAATAATTGTGCATTACTGTCTATACATTGAATGAGCTCTTTGACAAGCGAAACCCGGTCCGCTTGATATATAGTATGCCTATATTATGCGTGCCTGTAGATTTTGATTTAGGTAACATTTCACCCGGCTTTCAAACTTCGTGAACAGCCAAGAAAATATGTACAGTGAGTCATGCGAGACTATTTTATAATTTCGATACTCCAAAATATTGATTAATTTCATCATTCAATTATATTTTATATTATGTATATGATGTCTTGTAAATAAACAACGAAATTTTCAAAAATTAATAGTTTCCTGCATTTTTCCTGCACTCCGGATTCTGTCTAAACCGGCCAAATTTTATGGAACCAGCGATAGCCGGTTTGGACAAATTATACTGAATGAGTGAGCAGAGGGTTTATGAACCTTAAAGTGGGTCTGCTAATTTCTCAGAAGGATAATCTGCATCAAGAAGATTTTTTTTTTTCAAAGAGATAATACTTAAGAAAACAACTTATGAAATATAAAAAAAGAATTTATAAACCTATGAATAAGAGATACTAAAAGGCAACTTACAGATGAACATAGTAGTTCTTTTTAATTCTTTCTGCCATCAATGCTGATTCCTTGGCAGTGAGCTTGATTTTGTCACACAAAACTTTACATGCCATATTTGTAGCCATCTTAATCTGAAATGTGTTTAATTAAGAAACATTTTAGAGATACATTTAAATTAGATCTGAGTAATGATACCAATACTATACAAAAGAGTAAAAATTGGTCAACAAAACAAATGCATTTAAAAATAACACAAGAGTCCCTGTGACATTTAAATGAAATTTGAGTAACGATATGCAAGTTACAAAAGAAGAAATAGTTGTACAACAAAACAAACCTCGTATGGAGTATTAACAATCCTGTCTCCTCTCAATACTTCACCTGCAAAAATATTTTCAAAATAGATGTCAACAATATAGTCAGACACATATACATAGAGAACAAAGATATTGTGTGTAATAAATTTATTAATTTTATTATGAATGCTGTCAATACTGAATATCAAGAATTTTCAAATACGTTCAAACAATATTATTAATAAGCTTTTTTCTATGTTATGTTGAAAATTTTCATGCAAGGTCAAATCATTTCTTTAAAGAAAAAGAAAAGTCAATAAAAAATAATAATTGAGGTATCGCTTAAGTCCCTTGATTTCACTGTTTTCCCCTCTTGATTTCCTTTGTTGATATCGAACATCTAACCCACACACATACCCAAATTTTCCACTTTATATTCTTTTCCTCCCTTTGGCTCACAGAATCTGAGTGAATAATATTCATATGGAAGCTGAGTCTTGGTGCTGGTCATCTTTACTGCCTGAAAGGTGTACAAGCAAACAGATTAGTAAAATTGTAATTTGGGTTAAAATGTTCTGATCATGATCATAAGACATTTCATGTTAATGTTCAATACATAGAAAATAAATTTCACTTTCAGAGAACATCTACTGTAGATCACTATATTTTTCGCGACACCTTATTTTTGTAAGTTAGTTATTGACTCTTTAAAGGCAAGACAAAATTTCACGAAGTGTGTTTATTGCTTTATATAATCTTTAGGAATGATAAAACATGTATATGCAAGGATGAAATTTTTTCGAGAAAACTATCTCTTGTAATTGTGCAAAAATAAGGTTCTTGCTAATAAAAATTTATTTTCAGTATTAGGAAGGTTATATCCAGATGAAATATAGAGTGTAAAAATTCCATAACTGATCAGATCTAGGTCAAACTTTACACTGAATTTTCGGAATTACCTTTGCTATTTCATGTGATCTCAATACTGATGTATGCTGATGGAGAATTCTTTTTTTTTTATTATGCTTGATATTAAATTCTAATAAAATTGAAACTTCACTCTTTGCCAATTGGAAATGAAATGCATCAAGTCAGACGAAACTTACAAATTTTATGAACATTATTAAGGAAGCCTCAATCCATTCCAATGCTCAATCTAGGCTCACTTACCCTGACCTCTACAAGGTCATTTTTCTTAAACTCCTTGGGAGCCACTCCTGGTACATAGAATCCAGAGCAAAGGTTCAGAAAGGACAGGAACAAGAGAAGCCGTGGAACCATATTCTGCAAGAAAATGTCAACAGGTGTATTGTTTTATTCTCCTCTAAACTTTTTCTGATTCTATCAATAGGTCTAGGACTTGCAATGACTAGACTGACATGATGCATGTCTGTTCTGCACATAGGAAATGACAGGAGAGAGTATCTATAAAGTGTTTTGCTTTCAATTAAAAAATGTACGATGCATAAAATGATAAAAGCTTTTTAACTTTTAGAACTCTGATTGACATTGCCTTGAAGGAGACTCATATTGGAAAGTGATGTTTAAAATTTTCAAAGATCGTTTTTGGATCAGTTTAAATTAAAAAAAAACTTTACACTGCATTGAAGTGTGATTTTTGTTTTTTTTAAAAATACTTCCTGACAATATGGTCAATTAAGAAATATGAATGATTTTGTACCTAAGTAAACTAACATGCACCTATAACATGTATATTTAAGCTATAATCTATTCAACATTAGCAAAAATGTAGTAATTTTATCTGACTTCTATATTGGACAAGCAATAAATATAAATTATAATTCTGATAACTCCCGACTCTCACATTTCTTTTACTGAAACAGCACATTTTTGTGCACAATAAAAATACATTTTTTTTCAATGGGTGGCACTGTAGCTCTCTATTTGTCCATCCCAATTTTTTTTTTTCCAGACCAGAGAGCTACAGATCTGCAGCTATGAAATTTAGTACTAAGTCATAAATGTAGAAACCAAAAAAAGCATACTGATAAAAGTGATTAATTGAACTGCTCAATTTAGACTAGATAGAATGTTCTATCGTTAAAATGATATATGTCCTCATACATGCCAACTTTTGAAAATTCCCATGGGGGATTTTGCGCATGACGACAATTTTCAAAGCTTCAAATTCGCGACATTTTGTTGTGAAAATAAATGAATATGAAATACTTTTTTTTAATTATAATATTGATAGCACTTAATTATGAATACAAATAAATACAAATTAAAGTTTTATTTTTCCAAATTTAAATATCTTTGCTTAATAGTTGTCACTCTGTTCTATTAATTTACATTTTGTTTCTAGTATGTACCCTTAAAATCAAGTGTCACTTTATTCCCTATAAGTAAGTATATAGACAGTGCATCATTAATTTTATCTCACACACAAATCAATTTGGAGAAAATATGCCTAATTTAATCATGAATTTTTTAACACAAGCCCCACCCCCACCCATCCCAAAGAAAAATTAAAATTATAAAAGACTACATCATGAACATGATAAACTTTTGCAGTCTTGGCAATGCCATATGGGTTTCTGGTATTTCCTTGACATATTTGTATCATAGAAATACAATGTACATCTGTATGAGTATGATCTATGGGAGAAGGGGGGGGGGGGGTTCAGTGTACTTAAACATGAGTGTATTATTTAATCTAAATTATTTTCAGTATTTTTTTAAATTGACAAACTATACAATATTTTTATTATTAGCAGTTAAAATCAGCAGCTATATATGCTTTGAAATTTTCTACTTTCGTTTTCAAAAAACGATCTTTTTGGATTCCTATTTTATTGTTTGATTATCATTTTATTGTCTTAAATTTTTGTTTTAAATGAAATGACTAATAATTAAGCCCTTTATCTATGTGTTTCACTTTGCATACCCCTTCAAACTGAAAACTGCTCCAGGCTATAAGCACCTGTGCCTGGACAGCAGTGTGTGCGTTCATGCGAGAAGTGATTTCCTGTGGCTAATTAACTCTGCATGTTAAATAAACAATGAGACTTATCTATTGAATAAACAACTCTGATATTCTTATCCCGATTGACAAAATTCGGTGTTAGGGAAACTGGAAGTCTGAATTTTTTCAAATCGGGAAATTGGGGCAATTTTTCTCTCACGATCGGGAAGGCGGGATGAAAGGGTAAAATCGGGAGAATCCCGCCTAAATCGGGAAAGTTGGCATGTATGTGTCCTACGGACCTGGTTCAACGATAGAATTTGTTCCGTGTATTCACAATGTTGCAAAATAAACACAGGCAATAACTCGAACTCAGTGCATTTACAACGAACAATCAAGAGAGTTCTGACTTAAAACATGGCGTGTAAATTTTAAGCGAGAAAAAATGTTGAGAAAATTAGTTGAATTTAGTCTTAATTTGGATTTTATTTTAGGTTTAAAGGCATACACAACTGATCACATACAAAATCGTTCGGAGCGATTCTGCAATTTTCTTGTTACATTGAGAGTATATGGGAGGTATTCGGGACAAGCCCTCACCAAAGTAAGTTAAATTATTCTAACTAAATTTAGACATTAATAATGCAAGACTTTACATTGTAGACAATTTTACATGTGTATGTAAATATGAATTAAGCGCAACATAGAGAAATGTGCTTAAAAAGTTTGAATTGAATTTGATAAGCGATTATGAGAATATCATTCAATAAAAGAGAGAGTCAGGAGTTGGTCAGTTGGTAGTACTAGATTTACCGCCTGCTTGTGTATTTTAAGATTTCCCCGTTTTCGATGACGTGTCCTAACAATCAATATTTTCACTTGTAAAACACCTGTTCACTCATTAACTCTGGCAATGACATGTGATAATGGTTTGTCAGGGCGTAGTGTACCTACTTATTTTTTTTTTTTAACAAACATCACTAAATACACACTAACGCAAAACATAGTTATCCCTTCTCGTGTGTAAATGGCAAGTATATTTGATGACAAGTACATGAAGACATAAAATAATTTGTTACTAAATAAAGTTTACGTTGTACGACACTCTACCGGGATTTGTTGACAGATTTCTTACCCTTGTCGCCATCTTACAAACGTGGAACTCGACGAAGTCAATTGTAAATAGCGAAAAATATACGCGCCGGATATTTTTGGAATGTATTTATTCATTACATAAATCAGTACGCTGATTGTTTAAACTCTATGCAGAAATTCATTCCGACTTTAGAATCCAAGTTCTTTCAATTACATGTAGTTCCAATTTTCCCCTCATTCACTTCTTCATAACTCTTTCTTTTACTTTACTTCAACAAAAAGTGTGCACGGGGGGGGCGGTATAATGCCATTCAGAATTTTCCAACATGATGTGTTTGTGAAACACTACCGGGTGTGCCCCTGATGGTAACATAATTCTGGAATGGACACATCTGTGGTATACACTTACCCCTGAGAGTAACTGATAGATATGGGCTACATGTAAATTAAAATTGACAGACAGACAGACAAACAAGACAAAACAATATTCCTCGGGATCTTTCGATCCAAGGGCAATAGAAGTTATGTTTGGAAAAAGTTGGGTTCTGCCGCCTAGGTCTGCAAGGAATGCTCACTCTTCCATGGTACCTGATCCAACCTTATGTCTTACACGGTGAAACACTACTCGTGTCTTCTCTACTCATAGTATTTAAATATTCAGGAAACTGCACAAAGACTAAGTTGACACGTACATGAAATCAAGACAAACAAGAGGCCCAGGGACCACATCGCTCACCTGAGCAACTGTCTAGCTAAAAGAAAAAATCAGTTCAGTATTGAAAAGTTTTAAATATAAAAGTGGGTTCAGGGGAGAAGGGGGGGGGGGGGTATTTGAACAAACTTAAATCTACACTTCCTACGGACGTTTTTAATAAATTAATATGATACATAATGACTTTGCTGTTTATAAGATGAACATTTTGATTGATATAGCCTTCGTTAATATCCCTTTGTATAACTATGATCCACTTTTAATAATGGCTCCATTTATTCTTCTTGTTGGTCACCCATTGTGGCCCCACTCTACCCCCGTGGGTCATGATTTAAACAAACTTGAATCTACACTATAACCGAGGAAGCTTTCATAAAAATATGAAGAATCTCAACTGTTGTCGTTGTCAAGAAGAATTTCAAAGATTATTTTCTATGAAATCCTTCTTAAAAATTTGGTCATCTGTTATGGCTAACCCTTGCCCCAGGGGATATGATTTGAACAAACATGAATCTACACTAAAGGAATTAGCTTCATATTATGATAACGATGGCCAGTCATGGCTTTGCTGTTCTTGAGAAGAAAATTTTTAAAGATTTTCCCTATGTATCCCTATGTTAAACTTTGATCCCCCATTGTGGCCCCATCCTACCCCAGGGGTCATGATTCGAACAAACTTGAATCTTCACTACCAGAAGATGCTTCCGTATAACTAAGACCAATCATGGCTTTGCTGTTCTTGAGAAGAAGATATTTTAAAGATTTTCCTATGTACTTCTATGTTAAACTTTGATACCCCACTTTGGCCCTGCCTAAATATCGGGGGTCATGATTTTAACAAACTTGAATTTACACTAGCAGAGGATGCTTCCTCATGAGTTTCATCTTTTCTGGCCCAGTGGTTCTTGAGAAGAAGGTTTTTAAAGATTTTTCTTATGTATTCCCATGTTAAACTTGGTCCCTCCATTGTTGCCCCACCACACCCCTGGGGGTCATGACTTGAATAAAATTGAATCAACACTACCTGAGGATGCCTCCACACGAATTTCATCTTTCCTGGCCCAGTGGTTCTTGAGAAAAATTTTTAAAACATGCCATTAATTTTTTCACTAATTCATAATTATCTCCCCTTTGAAGAGGGCATGAACCCTTCATTTGAATAAACTTGAATCCCCTTCACTCAACGCTAATTTGTGGCAAGCTTGGTAGAAATTTGCCCAGTGGTTTTTGAGAAGATGTAAATGTGAAAAGTTTACGACAACGATGACAGACAACGGACAAATTTTAATCAGAAAAGCTCACTTGAGCCTTCGGCTCAGGTGAGCTAATGATAAAATACAATAAGTAAAATTATACGTAGATTTTTAAGATAATGCATGTTTCATTGTAATAGAAGAAACAGATAGATATATCTTTTAAATTTTACAAGCCTAAATGAACATAAACATAGACACTTGATATAGTCATGCGCAAGAAAGCCATAAAGGCTTATTTCCAATGAGGTCCTCGTGATTTGTGTTGTTCGGATGTACGTATGAGCTTGAATGTTGTTCATTATCCTTGGAAAACTATATTCAGAGATTACTAGTAAATATGTAATATCTATTTGCCGATATAGATTTTCAACTTTATCGTATGATCGATTAGCTAGGTCCGAGTGTCCACACTGTGGCTCGAACCTAAAACCCTCAGATTTAAAATCCGACTGAGCTTAAGGATTAACCCACTAGCTAGTGCTAGTAGGAGCGTGGACTCACTATATACAACACATATAGCTACTTTTAACTCTAGATCTGTTTCACTTCCACCTTCTTTTTTCTTGCGATTTCTTACTCCGAGAAATCTCACCCACGAGACTCTGTAAAGACCGCTCACCATGTAGATTTTGTAGTTTGTCGCCTATATGACCGATTACCTAGGAGGTGTTCAGTTGTTCACACTGCGGCTCGAACCTATGACACTCAGATTTAAGATCAAACGCTTTACCGACTGAGCTAAAGGGTTAACCCACTAGGAAGTGCTGGTAGGAGCGCGGCCTCACTATATACAAAACATTCTGTTTTAACTGGTTTATTTCCAGTTTGGGATTATACTTAGGATTACCATAATTGGGTCCAAGAGAGTTACACTTGCACAAACATCTCATTTAAAGATATGCGCCCGCGGTGCGCAGCGCTTAGGGCGTGTGCTCTAGAGTGGCGAAGTAAGGAGTCGATCCTTACATCGCGGGTTCGAATCCTACAGTGGGACATGGAGACCGGTCCTTCGTGGTCGCAGTAGATGCTGGCACGAAAAAATGAAGCTCACTGCTCAATGGCCCTGAGTGCCGAGTATATAAAATTTGTAGCTATCCACCAGCAAGTAGTGAAAAATTCTCGAAAGGGACGTTAAACAACATACAATCAATCAATCAATCAAAAGATATGAAGTCCTAAAATTAAGAGTCCCATGATAGAATGATGTGATTTTCAGTCCCACCAACTATCCCAACATTCATCCAAAGGAGATGATTGATTGTATGTTGTTTACCGTCCAATTCAAGAATTTTTTTCCTCATACAAAGAGGTCACCGTATGCCGATGAAGGGCTCCAAATTTAGACGTATACTTGGCACTCAGGGCCATTGAGCAGTGAGGGTTCTTTATCGTGCCTATGCCTACCGTGACACGGGACCTACGTTTTTAAGGTCATATCCGAAAGACCGTACGTGACTTTCACTTTTAATGCCGATCGCTTCAGGCTCGTACATCGTTTTTGAAGGGGGGGCAGCCAGAAATTTTTTTTTTACTTATCTGAAAAAGTTGACAAGCCAAAAAAAGGAAAGGTGGCCCAAAGTCGAAAATCCTATTTCGTGGGGGTGTGGGGGGGGGGGAGGGGGGTAGAGGCCAACTTTCTCTCAGTGTCAACTACTTCCAGTATCAATTTTTAAACATTTTCGGTACATCACTAAAAGTGGGGGAGCCAACCAGACTTTCAATTAACATTTCCTACAGCATGAGTAAGGTTAGGGAAAAAGGTGGTGGGGGTGTAAAAGTAAAAGTGAAAGTTGCGACCGCTTTTTGATTTGAGAATTCAAAGCGAGAGTGTATCGATTTAATGAAGGAAGAAGTGCAGAATTGGTGTTTTTATCATTTTTGATGATAAAATGTAAGTGTTGATTCAAGATGACAGTTCTTCCGCCGATTAAAAGTTACAAAATAGAGCCTATTCTTATAAAATACGCATGACTTACCATTCCATGAGGAATTTTGTCCGCCTTTTTAATTTGAAAACGGCAATTTCTTACATTATGGTGACCTCTAAATCATAAAAAAAACAATATTCTGAATCGCCAGCTGTCAATCACACAAAATTCTAGCTATGTAAATATGACAGAGGCCTGAGCAAAATACAAAACAATACAGACTTGCAGGTTTTAACATAAAGATGAAGAAATAGAGTATTTTAAATTTATGCAGTATCTCATGAATATTAATGAGAAATAAATCACGTGGTAGCAATCTCATGAATAAATTGCACACTATTTCGCCACATGATTAACAATGGTAATTTCCACCCCTGTGTCGATACGATATATCCTGGTGAGCTTGAGATAAAACATACCACAGAGTCTGACACATCTGTTTCATACTTGGATATTTTACTTGAAAAAAAAAACATAAATGGTAATCTAACAACCAAGCTCTATGATAAACGTGATGACTTTAACTTTTCTATCATCGACTTCCCTTACTTATGTAGCAATATACCTTCATCACCTGCATACGGAGTTTATAAATCTCAGTAGATTCGATACGCAAGAGCATGCTTTACGTATATGAACAATTTCTAAAACGGGGTAAATTATTGACACACAGTTGATGAAACAAGAATATCAGCAGTCTCGTTCAAAATCATTATTTCGTAAGTGCTATGTTCGATATAATGACCTTGTCAACAAATACAATTTTTTCATTGAGTCAAATACTAGCTGACGTTTTTGTCCCCCGCTTTCGATATAATGACCTTGTCAACAAATACAATTTTTTCATTGAGTCAAATAGTAGCTGACGTTTTTCATACTTATTGTTAGTCCATTATTCATACACTGAATTGACGGATGAATTTTTCCTTTATTTCCCGATCATGACAAGGAGCACATTGCGGGTGTGATCGGTGGGCAGGGGATGCTCACTCCTCCATGGCACCTGATCCCACCTCTGCTGTTTTGGAGGTCCGTGTTTTGCTCTACTCCTGTTTTGTATAGTTTTATGGACTTTGATATTGAATACTGTTCGTGTTAAAGACCAAAAATAATCTGGTTTATAATACTGCTTTGTCGCATTTTATCTTTGTGTTTTATGTACAAAGTTACAAAGTAACTTGTCATGTTTATATCATGGGTTCTAAGAGAAAAAAGCTCGTAGTCG